CACGTGCGATGTACAACTTGATGGCACATCAATTTGAAGCTTTGCACTTTCTTGCTAATGTCAGGGAGAAATCAGATAAGGATGGTCTAGTGCATATCCAAGAGACAATGCTGTCTGAGTTGGTGGGGGAAAGAAATATCAAGTTAGGAGATGTACATCGAGGAATTCCAATACTACAACACAGACTTTGTGGGAAAAAGGTCTTCCTTGTGCTTGATGATATTAGCAAAAAAGAACAATTGCATGCAACTGCCGGAGGACTTGATTGGTTTGGCCCTGGTAGCATCATCATCATAACAACAAGGGATAAGCATATGTTAGATGTTCATGGAATTCAAAAACAGTACATGGTCGATGAAATTAACTTTGTGGAAGCCCTTGAATTGTTTAAGTGGAATGCTTTCAAAATCAAAGAAGTTGATCCATGTTACAAGGAAGTCACAGAGCGTGCAATGTATTATGCCAATGGCCTTCCATTGGCTTTGGAAACGATAGGCTCGAATTTGTTTGGCAAAACCTTGGATGCATGGGAATCTGCGTTAGAAACTTATGAGAGAATTCCAAATAGAGATGTTCAAGAAGTTCTAAGAGTTAGCTATTATAGGTTGGATGCTTATGAGGATACGTTACAGATAAGCTTGAAGCTAGAGGATTTCCTCAAAAATTTGGTCTGAGAGTGCTAGAAGAAAAATCTTATTAAAATTCGGGAATGTTCACATGAAACTATGGAAATGCATGACATGATTCGGTGTATGGGAAAAGAAATAGTTAGACAACAAACAACACTGCCTCATAAACGGAATATGTAGTGGTTTTACGAGGACATTGTTTGTGTGTTGGAGAAAAACATGGTAAGAATCCTATTCCTTTCCATTTCTTGTATTACATGTTGAATATGAACACATTTTATGATTAGTGTACAAGAATGAAAACGGATCAGATTGGATACGGATCATACCTATCATAATCCGATTCAAAAAAAAAATTCACTTATTATACATTTGCTATCTGCACGATATCCATTTAAAAAATAACTATAAATATTTTAAAACCTAGGATACTTATATGGATACCCGTGGATACCCATAAGAAATCTGCCACTGTCAATGCAAAATCTTGAGGGTATTCAAGTATAGTCTCCGGAGAATGGCAAAATGTTTGAAATTAATGAATCGTCCAATTTCTTTCAAAACCTGCCAATGTTCTTTCCTAATTTGACAACATTATGTCTACAAAACTTAGACATTACAATCCTTCCTGCCAGCATTGAAGAATGTCAATTTTTGAAATTTTTGCTCCTCACCAACTGCAAGATGCTTCAAGAAATTAGAAGACTTCCATTGAGTATTAATGAGTTCTTCGCAGCAAACTCTCCAATTGAAGCCAACTCTTTGACATTAAAACTCAGGCAGGTGGGTGTGTCTATCTTCTTTGAGTGATTCCATCAACTAGCTATGTCTTTCTTTTTCCAAACTCACACCATGCATATGACATGACCCGTTTCACAGGCCATTGATTAGGCTGCAATGAGAATCTGTGTTCTTCCAGGTTGGAAAATCCCAGAATTGTTTGACCACTCTAGCAGGGGAAACTCTGTAAGTTTTTGGTTTCGTAAAGAATTGCCCACTCTCGGTGTGTGTGCTATTATTGGAGTCCGGATAATGTCAAGCCTCCTTTCGTTGCCTTCTTTAGCTTCGTTGTTGGAGTAGAAAAGAATATTTATAAGTGTGTTTGTTGTTTCCGTTGTGGTAATATACGTTGGACAACTCAGGATAGTCACATAATTATACCCAACTTTCAAAATGAAATACTATGGTTTTGGAAAATCAGATACACCAAAGGCTGACCAGGATTAAGAAAATGAAAGAAGAATTAGGAGGGAAACTCAGTGCTATTAAAGCCGACATCTCTGCCATTGAAGCTAACAACTCTTCCATTAAAGCTAACATCTTTGACATTAAAGCTATATTTAGAATTTCTATGCAGCTAGCATGTGATGGATGAAAATAATATTATTTCCAATTTTTCAGAATCTAAAATTTTAAGGTTTAATGTGAGTTTTGGATGCATAAAGATGTTATTTTGACAATGGAATATCGAAACGCTTATGGTACAGGCATGATGATGATACACTTGATTCAGTGGCGGTTTTGTTTTCAATATGTTCTCAAATTTTATTTGGAATGTTTCAATGTGTTAAAAATTGGAAAGGTGGTTAATGTTAGGTAAAAACTGAAACACAGAATAATTACAGCAACGTAGATATAATCAATGTTTCTAGATTTTCACCGCTCAACAGTAGTCCCCCAGCAACCCAGCGGCAGTTTACGGCAGTTCAGCGGCAACGTTCCAAAACTTTCTCTTTTTGCTGTTCAAGGGAAAGTTATTCCAAACACCATATTAACTACAAAATAAAGGAAGGAATTAATGATGAATTTATATCAAATTAGTCCAAAATATAAATAACATTAAAATGAGATAAAAAGAGGATTTAAACAACTAATAAGTTAAAAGGGAGCTAATTTTGTCTATAAAATAAACCTCAGATATTGATAAGAATTACCGTTATCAAACTTTCTCGGACACAAAAAGGTGACACAAAAAGGGGAGAGAATTGACACATTTGAAAAAAAATGGAAAGTGATGTGGCACACAGCTCAGTCTAATTTTAATGCTGTTGGTTTTGGAAGACAAAAAATTATAATTTTTGTAAGGACAATGATCAAAGTATACAAAGTTTGAAAGAGAGACTAAAACTAAAATATTTAATAGTTGAGGAACTAAAATCATATTTAACCATTAATAATGTGAGAATGTGAGAATAAATGAGATTAAAATATAATTAATTAATTAATTATGTGAGAATTGTGTGAGAATAAATGAAAGAACTCTGAAAAGAAAAAAAAGCAAAGAGGAAGTGAGAGAGAGAGGGAAATGAGAAAGGAGAATGCAGAGAAAACAAAAAGATGTTTTATTATTAATATTTTAATTCTAAGGCATAATGGGAATTTAAAAATAAAATTGGAGCAGGGTGAAATGTCTTTAGGTTTTCTTCTTTCAGCTAAAAAAAAACTTACGTTCCCCAAATCTGGCAGCTGCTGACCCAAGCCCAAACCTTCTTTTATTTTGTTCCCAAATTAAAAATCATTTAGGGTTTCTTATTCTGCCACTTAGAACCAAAAGAGGTTTAAGGTCTTCTTGAACTGGTGGATGATGGAGAGTGTGGAAGGGGAATTTCAAACGTTCTTTTCTTCCTCTGGTGCCCCCTTCAAGATTCCCCTAATGAACATATTTAAGAACATATTTAAGAAAAGATATGGGGTGATTGTATGAGTGTCGGTAGCTTTTATTGGTTAAAACTGTCGTTAGGAATAATTGGTGGACGGAAGAAAATATTGGGTTGGTGGAAAAACAGATTTTCGGTAGTGGGTAAGAAAGTGAGAAGAAAGTGATTCAAAGTGTTTTTCTTTTTAAGTTTCGTATTATTTCATATTTTGTTAAAAATAGTTCAAATTGGTCTTGTCAAATTACAGTGGACTACATCTATAGAAACACTTATGTTAAATCCCAACGCCAACTACAATTGTCTAGGGTTTGAGGGACCTATGGTATCGTAGGATCAGATGACCCCAGAAGATAGGGATTGGTTGGACAACCTAAAGACGTAAGATACCAGAAGAAAAGCAAAACCTCGACAGATCAACCCGAACGGAGCATTACCAAATGGCCTAACTTGATAATCAGTCTTCTCATAGTAAAGATCAAGGTAAGTATTGATTAAGAGTAATGGGCTGAGGTTGGGCCGAAATTAAGGTTTCAGTAATCTCAAGCCCATTTCAAAAACTATAAATAAATGTGAGAGGTAAGAGGTAGGTAATTGCATTTACTGTGTATTTAAGACTATTGTCTTGACCTGTACAAATTATTTGCTAACTTAAGCATCAGAATACCTTTGGCGGGTACCTGCGGTTGGTTGGAGTTAAGAAGACCCGAACGGTTTTGGAGAATAAATTGTGAAAGTGTTTGAAGTTACTTGACCCTACACCAGAAACACCTTTCAAAACGCGTTGGACAAACAAATTACAGCGGACTACACCAATAAAGGCACTCATGACAAATCCCAACACCAACTACAGTTGTTTAGGGCTTACGAGGCCTATGTAACGTAGGTTCAGACGACCCTGGCGGATAGGGAGCGGTTAGACGTCCTAAAGACGTAAGATACCAAGAGAAAAGTAAAACCTCGACAAATTAGCCCAGACGGACATGAGCAGTACTAAACGACCAACTTGATAATCAGTCTTCTCAAAGCAAAGATTAAGGTAAATATTGATTAGGAATAATGGGCTGAGGTTGGGTCGAAATTAAGGTTTCACTAATCTCAAACTCATCTCAAAAACTATAAATAAATGTTAGAGGTAAGAGGTAGGTGGTCGCATTTACTATGCATTTAAGACTATTTCCTTGACCCCGTACGGATTATTTGTTGACTTAAGCATCAGAGTACCTTTGACGGGTACTCCTGGTCGGTTACAGTGAAGAAGAAGACAGAGCAAAGATACAATTACCCAAACGATTTTGAAGAATAAATTGTGAAAGTGTTTGAAGTTACTTAACCCTACATCCAAAACACCTGTTGTAAAGAAAATTTAATTTTGGATTATTTGAGATATACTGGACCACAAAGTAAATGGTAATTAATTCAACTTTTTGAAAAAGAATTGTACCTGTTATCACGTGGATGTGTTTGTTTACATACATTTCAATAAGCAATAAATAGCCATAAATATTTGGCTTAATAGCTTATTTCGTTCCTAAGTTAAGAGCTGAATTTCTGTTTAGTACCCGGTTTTAAAAATGAAGACATTAGGTTCCCAAGTAACGAAAATTGTGTAAATTAAGTCATCATCGTTTAACGGCGTTAAAATTGAAAACTTTGACCTAAGTGTGGATGTGAGGTGTGCAAGAATTGTGGTCGTGGCAATGAGTTGGGGTAGGTTACTTGACGTGGCAGGGAAAAGGAAAAATAACGTGGCAGGGAAAAGGAAAAAAACTTCATATCAAATTGGGGAAATTAAATTATAGGGTTTCTTTATCTTCGAATGAAAAGATTAGAGAAGTTAGGTCATAGATTGGGGATTTTTGACGTTCTGGAAGGATTCAAGGTGTGCAAGGGTTGACGGTGTGGAAGGAGATTGTTGACCGAAAAGGGTTAGTGAAGGAGATTGTTTAGCAAAAAGGATTGATGTTGCGATGATAGTTGTTCGAAGCGAAAAGGTCCAAGGTACGCTTTTTATCAGTTTTTGATGTAGTTGCTTTCCCCCATGGAAGTATCTTGTCTTCTTGTCCCCTTACTATGTTGTGTTGTGATCCCCCTTGTTGTGTTGTGGTCCCCCTAATAACGTTTGATTTGTAGTGGTACTGTTTGTCTGGTTTTGGTCCCTAATTAGTGGGGACTGTTTTTGCTTTTGTCCTGTTAGTGCGTAGTACTATTTTGGATATGGTTTTGTTCACTGTGTGGTTGTTGTTTAAGTTGTGGTTGATGCATATTGATTTAAGGTTTAAGCCAAGATGGAATGTTGTAGGTGATACATTGAATGCATGTGATTACTTTTGTATGGCTACAGGTATCATAGTTGTTAGTAACGTGGCATCTTTACAATGTACATGCATG